TCAGAAACACCTGAGAACCTTTCTCGTCTGTCTCTGATTTATAAAGCGGAGATTGTGTCCAGCTGTGCATGCTCCGTGTTTGATTGATCACCAACCTACTTGGTGTGAGTACATTTTTTTGCTGAGCTCAAGTATGGTTTTAGTAAGAATTCTACGCAATGTTTTATAGATGAGACCCCTGGTGATTTTAAACAGACCTTGCATGATCGGTCACGGTGAGAATGTTTTTTAGTGTACCATACTTCCGTAGATATTCCAGGATTTTGTCATCCGCACGGGTATTAGTCATTCCTGAGCCTTGAACAGACTGAGCTGGGTCAATTCCAGATTGCAACACAGAATCCATGACTGATATTCTAAGGGTATAATGTTGCTTTGTTTTTATTCACACATTTGACTCCTGGCTTGCTCACAACTTGTAACTCTATTGGTTAAGATGGAAACAGTGCACTTAACAGAACTGCTGCCAACAGATGGTGTGTCTGGCTCTCAGAAATAAGTTCATCTATGGAGTCAAATGAGTGTGAATAAAAAAAGGACTGAACACAATGGTATATTATTTAGGTGCGTATTGAAAGATATTAACAAGAGAAAATATATATACATTACAAAAACCTAAACTAAAAAACAAAAACAAATAAAACAATTAGGGGAAAATAATTATGCCATATAAATGTTTCTTAAATCCCTGTTTGATTATCAGTCCACTGCTCATGAATCAATTGTGCTTCCCAGGATGCATCTCCTCTAGAACCAGTTTCAATCAGCCCAAGTTCTCCTAGGGTGGCTCGCCATCAAAAAGGTGGAACTGAGATGGGTCCAGACGGAGGAAGGGTCACTGGAAAAGCCCAGGAAGTACCCAGAAAAAAAACGGACCTAAAATAAGACCAGAAGTAGACAATTATTGAAATACAATTATGTAAAAATAAATAATATACATATGTGTATATACTGTATATATAAACACACACACACACACACACACACACATGAAAGTGAAGCTTAATCAAGTTTATCAGTAAATAAAGCAGGTTCATTTAAACAGTGTGACGTCTTTATTTCTCAGTTTCTCATGATCGATTTATCAATCACTGTTTTCTGTTCACTACAAAAGCATTAATCAGCTTCATTCTTAAAGGAACAGAGCAGGGTTTTATCGAATGTCGATTTAGGTTGTTAATGTTTAAAAGAGGATAGATGATCAAGACATCACACAAGCTTTTAACCCTCTCAGGCTCAAAATAAGTTTTGATAAAAGGACGAACAACTGCGTCCTTCAGGGGTATTTCTGAGTTAAATATACTCGTGAAACACATATGCGGAGTAACCAGGTAGGCAGGTTTTAACGTTGCACATGTGCAACGCCTGCCTCCAGAGGGTTAAACTAGGACACCTAAAAACATCCCAACCCACTGATCAGCAGTCCGGCTGTAAAGGTAAGGAGTGTGCTCACCAAAGAGCAGACACACAACCACTTTTAGGGTGAAAAGGGCAGAAGGAATCTGTAGTGATACGCGACAAAGTAAATACAGGCAAAGTGTGACAAAACAGGGCAAGCCAAACAACACAAGATAGCTCACCAGTACTCTGTATCAGAGAGAACTTTGTCATTCATTCACCGGCTGTGGCTGGATTCCCTTTCTGTTCATGTTTCCAAGATATCCGGTTTAAAACATGAATTTACTCATAAATTAAGCAATTATGAGTGGGAGTTTTTCACTGAGAGAGGAAGACAACGCTGAACACTGGCTGCTGGATGCTGGCTGAGGAGAACAGCAGCTGCACATCATTGCACACAAGAACATCCAATCAAGGGCGTGTCAGCTCATTACTGAACACAGCCAGGGAGCCTCAGGTCACATTTGTTACAAGTGACCTTTAATTAAGCGGCATCCTGACCAATCACAAGCTTGCTGTCTTGGTCACTCTCGACGGAAAGTAAAAAAGTCGTGCATGTCTCCATCGGAGAGTCCTTGCTCCGTTGCACAACCTTATTTTACATCAGCTGCGAAGTGCGACAAAGGCTCGTGCCATGCAGCTATCGTTTTGGCGCGAGCCCGATTTTTTTGCGAGCCATGAGGGAGCCGCATCAATTCTGGCAGGAAGTCAAATCAAAACAGAAGAGGCAGGCCAGTAAATTAAGAAAATAAAGACTTTTTCAAAATAAAATACTGCAATTGATAAATGTGGTCATTTTTGTGTATCTAAACAGACTAGAGAGATGAAAACGAACACACACACACACACACACACACACACACACACACACACACACTCCTGCAGAGAAATAGTGTTTCCATCATTTTAAATGCAGTTTTTACAGCAAAAGATGGGTTTTATAAATGCGAATACAAACAAATATGTTTAATTCAAAGGTAAACATACAACAGCGTTGTCCGCTATCACTAAAATAGTTATCTACTTACCCAATTAGAACGGACCTGGGCTACAAAACAGAAGCAGGATCAGCGCAGTTTGTGATATCAACAAGCAGGGCAAATCGGTTATACACACACACACACACACACACACACACACACACACACACACACACACACACACACACACACACACACACGTAATGTCCACCGGTCGCCGGCAGACACAAATTCCATTCTCTGAGGTGGATTTTACATTCTACCTTCCAACAAGCAGCAAGGTTCTGCAAACCTTGTTGACATTTCAGGAGGAACACGATGTCAGGCTGTGTTCTCAAATGAAGCCTTCTTCTGATAACACCACAGGATTGCTCACTCTCTGAATAAAGTGACTATTTCAGCTCATATGAGTTAATCAGTCGTGAAATGGATGAACCAATGTTATATGAATACTAATGAAATGTTTTGAATAATATGTGCTTAAATTACTGTGGTTGAAATGAAACATTTTGATATTATGATCAGTAATTTTAGATTTAACAACATTATCTACACTCAGACACAAGGCTCATTAGAGATAAATTAAAGTTAAGTTAAACGTCATGACACATAGATATTTTCTTAGCCACAAATCAGAACATCCTGTATCTGAAAGAGGCGTGACGTTCTGAGGTTTGCTTGTTAACACCTCTTAACATGGCACGTCTCGGTTGGCCAAGAGATCTTAATATGAGAATATTAAACAGAGCTCACTAGACGGTGAGTCAGTTCTAGAGAAAGCTACGGACAGGCCATCCGGAGCGAACCCTCTTTAACCCAAAACTTTCGACAAGCTAAAAGCTGCCTACAGCTGACACAGCAAAACGTTTCCTTCAGCTATTCAGAAACAGCTGTTCTAGACGCAAACTATTTCATCTATCTGTTGTGACTCTGAAACACCTCTGGATTGGAGAGTCGGTGCTGCAGTTAATCTACCAGACCTCGGTGCCCAGCGGTCATCCGACCTCCCTGACCTCCTGATCCGCGAAGAGGGTCTCCAAAGAAAGGGTGAGGTAGACACACAGATTGCGTCTGATGCCAGTTTTGATAAGAACCAACTTCATAGTTTAACGCAAACCAAATTATTTTCACACCCAGAACTCAGTTCTTCTAGATACAAGGTTCTGATGAACACACACCATTAAATCACCACACATCCCATCCACCTAGATTCATCAGACAGACAGATACACACACACATACACACACACACAGACAGACAGATACACAAACACACACAGACAGACAGATACACACACACATACACACACACACACACACACACACACACAGACAGACAGATACACAAACACACACAGACAGACAGACAGACAAACACACACAGACAGACAGATACACAAACACACACAGACAGACGGACAGACAGACAGATACACAAACACACACAGACAGACAGACACACAAACACACACAGACAGACAGATACACAAACACACACAGACAGACGGACAGACAGACAGATACACACACACACAAACACACACAGACAGACAGATACACACACACACACACAAACAGACAGACAGATATACACACACACACACAAACACACACAGACAGACAGATACACAAACACACACATACAGACGGACAGACAGACAGATACACACACACACAAACAGACAGACAGATACACACACACAAACACACACACATAGACAGACAGACAGATACACACACACACACATACACACACACATACACACACAAACACACACACACACACACACACACACACACAGACAGACAGATACACAAACACACACACACACACAGACAGACAGACAGACAGACAGGTACACACACATACATACACACACAAACACACACACACACACACACACACACACAAGCACACACAGACAGACAGATACACACACACACAAACACACACACAGACAGACAGGCAGATACACAAACACACACACACAGAGACAGACAGACACACACACACACACACACACACACACACACACACACACAAGCACACACACACAGACAGACAGACAGACAGATACACACACACACACACACACACACACACACACACACACAAGCACACACACACAGACAGACAGACAGACAGACAGATACACACACACACACACACACACACACACACACACAGAGAGACAGACGGATACACACACACACAAAAACAGCAAGGGCACGGGGGGGCGGGGGGCTTTGGAAAACAGCAGGCGTGGGCAGAAGCGTTTGTCTCATGTGAACACAGGAGCAGTGGGCAGCGTGTGAACTTCATGAGCGATCCGCTCTGCGACACTTGGTAGCTGATGTGAACCTGGCGTGATGGTGTTGCGTGTCTCCGTAGCAACGCAGATGGAGAAGGATCAGGCTTTAGCCTTGTTTCGGGTGGAAGGCTGTTGATGCCTGGCTTGGTCAAGAGCTTACTTCTCAGGTCAGCTGTCTTCAGCAGGGCTCCTCAACAAGGCTTGGTACCCATGTGGTGGGAGACCACAAACACATCCAGATCCAAATACACAAACCAACTCTCAAACTGGATCACACCAGCTAGGGTTAGGGGGATTCTTTATGCAGATGCCTTTTTAAAATGTTTTATTTTGAAATGTGAGTTCAGACAACAGGATTTGTAATAATTCATCATTTTCAGTTTCAAATGGTTTCTCTGATTGAATCTAATATCAAAACTTTACTTTGGACAAAAAACTAAATGACTGTCCCACAGGCAGAACCGGACCCGAGTCATCCTGGTTCCTCTGGTTACACTGGGTCTATTTCTGGTTGAGCCAGCTGAAGGAGAAAACATGTTTAGATCCATCTCTGTCCTCCAGTTCATTCTGTTGATCCAACTGAAAGAGAAGAAACCAGTCACTATGGAGACAGACGTTAAACCTGAAAATCACATGACACCTGATTCTCTCTGAGAAGACTCAGATTCCCTGCAGCACCTGAATGTGGCCCGAAGAGGTCCTACCTGAGGGGCGGAGCTTGTAGTGGGAAGTGGCAGTGGGGGAGGGGCCTGAGTGAATGATGATGATGACGATGATGGTGATAATGGTGATGAGGAAGAGGAGGTGTGGCCTGTTGTTTGAGTGAGTTCTGAGGGGTTCTGGGTGGGTGTGTCTGAGCACACAGGCGGCTGTGGTGGCTGCTGCTTGGCTGCAGGTTCAACAGGCTGCTGTGGCCTTTGTAGCTCCACATCTTCTTCACTGTCCTCTTCATTGTCATCAACTAAACAACAGCAGTTACAAGTAAACAAATAATTCTGCTTTGTGATTGGTCAGTGAAGGGATGGTTTACGTTTGAAGCTGATGTCCATCAGCACTCTTCTCTGGGTCTCGAAGTTTGCCTTAAAGTGATCCAGGCGCTCGTAGCCAGGCTGGACTTTGTCTAGGTGAGATGTACTGGTGGCCTGAACCAGTCTGAGCAGGAAAACAAATAAAACAACAAACAAGTCAACAACATGTCAGGCATGAAAGCAACAAAAACAACTTGCTGACTACAAACGTTTATACATTTAACAAGAACAAGACATGACTACATGAACAGGTGCTCACTTCTGTAGAAGAGGTTTGACTGCCTGTGAAGGAAGTTCAGAGAAAAACATCATTAAAACCCAAACAGTGACATCAGAGTTCAATGCTGGATTCAGGGTCACCTGGAGGAACACCGCCATCTCAGACTCATCCATGGTCTGAATGGCAGTCTCCAGCAGTTTGACACTTCCTTCCAGGTGCTCGCTGTACTTCTTGTTCAGACTACGAATGTAGTCTAGTTTCTCCTCCTGCTCACTAGTAATCCTCACCATCATCTCAGCCTTCCTCTCCTCCAGAAGAGCAAACAGGTGATCGAAAACCTCGCATACCTTAGACTTCTGCCTTCGACCATTCTCCTGCAGGAAGACATTCATCTGTCAGAGGGAGTCACTGCCATGGCACCCCCACCCCACCAGACCTGGTCGAAGAACTTCATTTGATAAAACAGCAGATTACAGTTGATTCTGAGACAGACACACACACACATGAGTTCTTCTGTAGTGTGACCTTTGTGTCCGTTAAAAATAGCTTCTAATTCAAAAACCTTAATCTAACAGCTGATCCCTCAGCAACAGGAGCTCATTTCATCTGTTTACGTTTGTGTTTCTATAGGCGTGTTTCCATCACCAGACCTCCAGGGTAGTTCCTGGGGCGGGGAACTTGACCAGGAGATAGGAAGTCCCGGTCCTCTCAGCTACTCCACTGGGCCGTTCCATTTTTAGGAACCTTTTAGGAACTCCTGAGCAGGAACTCAGAAGGAAGCTGAAAAGGGCCGTTAGGCCGGCTCGCTCAGGTGGAGACACACACATGTCGGGAGGTTGCTGCAAATCTACCCTGAAGTTTCGATAATGGAAACACATCTAATGCAGATCCTCTCGGTTCTTGTTCCATAAACCATCAGGAACTGTCTCCTGACTGTTGTTCTTCCTTTGGGCTTATCCAGAGGTCAGTGCAGGAGTCAGCAGGAGTTAAGAAGAGTCAGCTGAACTCACATCAACAGCTCTTGAGGTCTCGTCTAGATGGCCGATAATCGCCTGAATCCTCTCATTATTCCCAACAAGCATGGAGACACAATCAGTCAGCTCCGCCTGCACACACAACACACAATGACCCACAAGAACAAAACAATGTGTTGAGCCGTTTTTTGCTGTGCTAGGCTGAGTTGTGTAGCATTTTATGCATTGGGGAGACGGTGGTTCAGTAGTTGGGAGTCGGTCCACTTTATCCTCCTTACCTACTGGACCTAATGGTGGTGGAAGGAGGGAGTGGTGTAGTGTGGTTAGGCAGCCTTGCTACTGTCAGTGTGGTGAACCCCTTCTCATTCGTTCGTTTGTTTCGTTTATTCATTCAATCAAATAAAAGTTATTTTAAAACAATTCATGTTCACAAATAATCCTAAATGAAAAAGGGGCAGAGACATAAGACTGTGTTTACAAGGTACTGCACTCAGCGAGGCACCAGTTTAAGGATGCTTTCAGAACATCTGATGTATTACCAACTTTATTTCCAACGTAGTCTGGCGCACAGCGAGGTGTGAATTCATACATGTAAGTGAAGGTGACCTGTAATTCAGTGCTGTCTCTGTTCTGCTGCAACAAGAATAATTCAGTGGTCATTGTTTGAAGGACCTTTATTGCATTCCTTCGTGTAACGCACTAAATGAAAAATTCCACAATAGTTGTGTCGTGTTGTCGTGTTGTGTTGTATTTAATTATGTTGTGTTGTGTTACGTTATGTCATGTTGTGTCGTGTCATGATGTGTTGTGTTGTGTTGTAGACCTTCTGCTTGCTGAACACGTTGTTCAGCGGTGCCACCTCACAGTCCTTATGGGACCCAAACACCTTGCAGAGGGAACAGGTGGGAACGCTGCAGGTGGTGCAGTAAATGTTGATCTTCTCACCCTCGTGCTCCTCACACATCGGCTGCTCCAGCTTCACCTCCACAGCTGGCTTACTGAAACACACCACAGTGACCCCTGGTGGCTACGATGACCTACATGTTTGTTTTAACTGGAGCTGGGCAACGCAAAGGTGTGGTTCACTCATTTAATCAATACAATGCAGTGGTCTCTAATACTCAGGGGGTGGGAAAAGGTCAGGTGTACCTGTTTCAGCTGGAGGAGAAAGTATCTTCAGAGGACAGGATTTGGAGACTTGTTTCCTGATATGTGGACATCTCTCCTCTGATTGGCTAACAGCAACATGACTCTACCACTGAATCTGTTTGCTCAACAACATTGATGTTTTATCTCCACCAATAATACAAGCCTGGAGGAGTTCTGCTGTGTGGTGAAGTTGCTAATGATAACAGTTAGCTTCTACTAGCCGAGACATTCTCTGCTGTTTCCTGGACTAAACCAACAACAGCCCTCCCCGTCATGAGCCAAGATGGGTGAGTCCATGAATGATAAGTGACAGTGTGACGTAGATCTGTCAGGCATTTCTAATCCTGGAGTTTCACCCTCTGTTTTCTATCAGAAGCTACTGCAGGAGCTAGGTGTAGGAGACTATTTTCATGTTCAGCCTGCAGAAACACTCAGTGACCCATTAGAATCATTAGTAATCATTAAAAAATGTTTTTCAGAGTTCCACACCTTCATTGTGTTTTGTCGTGTTAACACATAAAGGTGTGGTTCCTGCAGAAACTGTGCAATACTGGTTTTATTTGAAAAATGACGGGTAACTCTGAGCTGCACATGAAATTTTTCTTCAATTGCCTGCATTAGCTGCAGAAATGAAACAGTTGGGTCAGAAAAATTAAATTAAATTAAATCATATTGCTCGAAGTACAGGGTGAGGAGGAGTAGCGCCCATTTTTCAGTCAAACCTATTCAGTCCCTTACCCATTACTCTAGTGTAGAGTGTAGATATCAGGCAGACAGAAGTTTATGGTGTGTTAGTATATCTGCAAGATAAAGCTGAAACCGTAGCAATGGGCTTTGCCCAACGCCGTTCTAAAATTCTATGTATCTTGGTATGGGCCCACTCTGGGCCCCCAAAAGCCTGTGGGCCCTAGCACCAGCGGCACTGGCAGACCCTACATGCTTAAACAGAGCTGCAATCCCCAACAGAATAGAATAGAATAGAATAAAACGAAATACAAAATCATAAACAGGATCTTCTGTGCATCATCCACTCACTAATCAGTGCCCAGCAGCCAGTGAACAATCAGAATTAAAAAAAGGAGGAAGGCTGGTGCAGTCAATGAGAGAAGAAGTTGTAATCGGTGCAAACAAGATACTAACGTTGGCAGCTTGTTTGCACCAATTACAACTTCTACTCGCACTGATTGTTCCAGCCTTCCTCCAATTTTTTTTAGAATAGAATAGACTTTATTAACCCGAAAGTGGGGAAATGAACTCGTTACAGCAGCACACACACTTATGGAAAAGGAAGAAGAAAAATAATAAAAGTACAGGCAAATACACAAAGGCAATAAGGTATTATTGTAACCTTCAACCACTAGAAACAACAAATAAAAGTAGAAAATTGAGTTTTCAAAAATATGCAGCATAAGGGACACAGACATACTAATGTACATCCAGTATTGAACACTTAGTGAGTATTGCATTGATGCTATTGTGTACCAGGATAATGCCACTGCAGCTTAAAGTGAGGCGTTTACACTCTTACTGCAGAGGGCATGAGTGAACTACGGCAGCATTCTGTTTTACAGCTGGGATGTCTCAGTCTGCCTCTGAAGGAGCTGTCCATGGTCTCCACAGTGGAACGCAGTGGGTGGACGGGGTTTTTCCGAGATGAAGATCAGCTTCACCATCACCCTCCTTCCTCACATCTCCTCAACTGAATCTAGTGGGCAGCTCAGAACTGAGCTAGATTTGTTAACTAGCTTTCTAAACACCAGTCGTTTCCCTCTATGATGCTACCTGAGTGGGATGTTAATTTGTGAATGGCACAAGTAAGGTACACTCAAATAAGTGTATGCTTTAGCTACTTTAACATCACATTCATGAACAACATGTGGCCCAATGGAACAACAAAAAAACTGTAAAACCAGGGGACCTCAGTCTCTAAAACACAGGTAACCTGAACATGAAAACAGATGAAATGTGTGTTTGTACCTAGTGCTCCCCTGTTTGTACATATCAATGATGTTCTCCACCAGCAAGTTTCTCTGCAATCCATAGACTCCATGTCTATCCAGGACCACCTCATGTCTGCAGGACGGACAGCGGAAACGTCCACCAGAGGATACTGTGGTGCCACTCCTTGTTGACAGGTAAGGGTTAGATGCCTGCAGGGGGTGGGGCATTTCAGAAGCAGAGATAACAGATTCATTCTGAGTGTCAGAAATGTGATGCAGATGTTAAGAGTGCTGGTTAGGGACCATTTCATTATGCTTAAATAATTCATGAATTAATTGGCAGGCCAACATTTCAGCTAATTATGTCGCCATGGTAAATCAAAACACTTCGGAAAAATAACAGCCAAGCCCCTCATTCTGATGTAAAATTTGTGAGGGTGCACTCTGCTGCTGCTGATCCACATTAACGTCCGCAGAAGAATAATAATAAAGGGATCAAATCCTCTGGTGAATAGGTTTGGCCGGTATTATCGCATACAGTTGGTGTTAAAAATAGCAACAGTGTCAGTTCCAATATCCTCATGAACAAAAACAGTTCATGTAGATGACAAGGATTTAGAATTTTTTTTAAAGATGAATAAAGGTAATTTAATGTATAAAACTGATGTGTGGTTGAATTTTCAGTTTGGAGGAGGGGGCCCCCAAAGTCCATCTTGCCTTGGGCCCCCAAGTGCCTTGAAACGGCCCTGCACTGGGGGTGAATGGAGACCCATCTATAATGGCGGCCGGCCACGACGGCAGCTCCAATAGACAGCACTAGTTCACGGGGCATCTACGTATATATGTCTGTGCTGATAACTGTAAACAGAAAGGGGGAGCACATCAAGTGATGCTTTAATGCTGCATATCACTATGGGATTTGTAGTCTTTGCAGCAAATACGCCAGCTGTGGCTAGATTATTCCACTTGCAACTTCAGACTGGCAGGCCACTCTGCTGTACTGTTTAGGCAGTAGGGAACCTATGGAATAGAAGTAATTAGGCATGAATTAGGCTCCCTTTTGGGTGTGCTTAGCACCAGAGCTACAACAGAGTAAAATGGTTGAAATGGCATTGGCTCAGGAATGGTGCTGGTTTGAAATGGTTTTGGTAACAACTTTGGACAATTTAGACTTGAGCATTTATTTAAAACATTAACAGACAGAGTTACTAAGTTTAATTCTGTTTATTTATAAAGCGCCAAACCAGGACCAGAGTCGTCTCAAGGACCTTCACACAGTAAACATTCCAATACAGGTCAGTTCATTAAGCCAATCAGTAAAAAGTTTCCTGTATAAGGAACCCAGCAGGTTGCATCGAGTCACTGACTAGTGTCAGAGTCTTTACAGCAATACTCATACTAAGCAAGCATGCAGCGACGGTGGAGAGTACTCAAGTTCTTTATCTCTGAAGGTCAACTTTACTCACATTTTAATACAAATGCAGTGGTCTAGTGGGAATGAAAGCCTTATAAAGCCTAATTTAAACTTCTCTGTTTGTGATGGTGAGGAGAAACATGACGCCATTATGTGTTGGCACAACTGCTCTCCAACAGGCTCACAGAGGGTGGCCGAGACCAATTTTTGAATCGAAAGTGATTGGTCAGAACGCCGCTTTCTGTAAATTTGTCAACAGCACCGCCATTACCCCCTCAAAAGTAAAAAGATATTTGGCGGCCGACATGGAACAACTTGAAGAACTTGCCTGTTTTAAGATGTAGAAGTCAGCTCGAGCAGGAAGAAGTTTCAGACGAAAGGATCTGGACTTTTATTTCGTGATTTTTGGACATCTCTTCTCTGATTGGTTAACAGCAACGTGACTCTACCACCAACTCTGTTGATGCTTGATGTTTTATCTCTACAAATAACACAATCCTGGAGGAGTTCTGATGTGTGGTGGAGTTGCTAATGCTAACAGTTTGCTTCTACTAGTCGAGACGTTCTCTGCTGTTTCCTGGACGCTGAACCAACTACAGCCTTCCAAGCGTTAATGGAAGCTATAAAACCCATTTCATTTCTTTTATTGCCATGTACTCTTGTGTTGGAGCAGGGGTGTTTGTTCGGTGTTGAGAAAAACTTTTAACATTAAGTTTTGACAGAACGTTCAATTTTGTTATCAGCCTTATTTTTCTTTTCTCATAGAGTGGAACAAGCATTGGGGAACCCGGCACACTGTTTGTACCTGCTGTTGGGACAAAGAGGAGCCCCATCCATGAGTTTATCCCTGTTCATAAGCGAAGTCAACTTTTCAAAGCTCACTTTGTTCGGTTTTAGCTGTTTATCAGTGAGATGGCGACAGTAAATATGTTATTAGGTCATTGACATTAACCAAAATGTATGTTAAAATCAACTATAGAATTATGACTAGATCACATTATAATTTCACTAATGTTTATCTAACACTTGTTAATGAAAACTGTGCTGGAGTTGATTGAGAACAAGACTTTGAAAGCAGCAGAGTCATATTTAATAACACTGAGCTACTTCTGTGAGCGGTAATGGTTCTCTCTATCACACAGTTGAACCGTAATCTTGTGTAACTCTGACACCGTACAGGGCGGGACCAGATACCCACCGGCTCAGACTCCTTTAGTGTTGTAGTAGCTCATCTTACAGAGGCTCCTGGAACACAACATCTAGAAACATCTAACCCCACCCTCCTGACTCCTCCTAGAATTGGTTTGTCTCACCTGAAACACATCATTGGCACATTTTCGACACAGGTTGTGTTGACATGGCAGGATGACCACAGGCTTAGTAAATATCTCCAGACAGATGGGACAGATTAGCTGCTTCTCCAGGCTCTCCATGAGGACAGGAGTGGACGGCTGAGACAAAAAGTGTGTGAAATCAGCCGCAGGGAGTGTTGCAGCCTAACAGCAGTGAACTGGAACGGAGCACTCTGTTTTTAGACTGAAGGACGTCAGCTGTTGCCACAACAGCATGCCCGTATATGTCAGAGGTCAGAAGGACAGAGGACAGGAGGGGGAGGCAGGACCAAGATAGTTAAAGAGACAGCATGCAGAGTTTTGGCTAGCTGCGGTTCTTCCTATTCCAAACAGAACCAGAACCTTCACACGGCTATATCCCCATGGTAACTCAGACTCTAGATCACCTTGGTAACAGAGAGGCTGTAGTTTCATCTGAGCCTGAAACATGGCTGCCAGCAGCTGTCTTATTTAATCACAATAAAAATCTCCAGCCTGTAGGAAAAAAATCCTCCCATTTATATTTTATTACCTCCCATAGGTGTTTGCATCAGAAATGGTAAATGACCTGTGTCTGGGTTAGGGTAGCAGAGTCCTACAGCCCCCCAGGTCGCTTTACAACTAACCTATCATTCACTCACAGCAGCAGTCCTAGCCCATTTAGTGCCCTGGGCAAACACCCTCTCTTGAACACCCCTCCCCCCACACATACACACACACACACACAGAGCCGTGTCCAGGACTTTTAAAATGGGGTGGCCCATGTGGGGCACTTGATTATTCATGGGTGGTACCAATGGTTATGCTTATTTATTTATTTACACAAATCATTTATTTATTTATGTACTTTCTAGTGAATTTTTGAGTTTAATATAGCACAATCACCATTTTTTCCCCTCTTCATCTTCTACTTTTGTGGTGGTTAGCAAGTCACTTCTTGTTGCATCACTGCCACCAACTGGAGTTGAGTGGGACTCTAAATACTATGTATGTGAATATGAAAAAATATTAAATAATATTAATACTACATACCTGGGCTAGAAAACAAGGTGAAAGGTGCATGCAACCACACTATTTTGGAGTTTACAACACAAGCCTTTTGTCGACAATGTAAAGTCAGTTTAAACTGGAACTTAGTGGGGTGGCACCTGGGTTGGCCAGTCAGATTCTAAGGGTGGCATGTGCTACCCCAGGCCACTCCCTGGACACGCCCCCGCACACACACACACACACACACACACACACACGCACGCACGCACACGCACGCACACACACACACACACACACTAATCCCATGTTGGTCACAAATAAAACGGCTCTCTCTTGGACGAGCTGGAGTCGGTGAGACAGACCAGCAGCATCGTCCTACCCTGACTCACTAACAATGGCAAAATCAAAGTGTGTGTGTGGTGGTGGGGGTGGTGGGTGGGTAGGTGGGGTGGGGGTCTTAGCCCATATGATACATTTCAACTTAAAGGGTACTAAAGGCACTAAAGGGTACTAAAGGCACTAAATTACACTTATGAACTGATATACTAATATAATAAATCCACTGTTAGCTTCTAACAGTGTGGAGAAAAAATCCCTCTGGGACATTACATTAAAAATTGAGCCATCAGATTCAGAATTTGCATCAGAACCAGAATGTTTTATATGTGTGGGAATCACAACTTTGGGAAACTGCTGCTGTGCTCGGTGTAATAAAACAACACATTCTCACTCCCAGCGCGTCAAAAACAAACGCTTGGTCAGCCATCCTCCGCGTCTACTCAGTGACGCCAAAAGTGCCCTTTTTCGTCACTTATGTACGAAAACGGGGTTTTCTCCTTTCTCACTGCAGAGCCTAACGCAGTGTAAAACTGACGTGATGGGATGTCCGCAGCTGCGGCACCGAACCAGCTAATTTACCCGCACCTAAACCTTAACGTTTTGCTATCTATAACCTTCCCCTTCCCCTTCCCCTCATCCTAACCTTAACCCTCTTGCTACGTTACTCTCACAGTGACCAAGCGTTTGTTTCCCATGCATTCTGACCGTGAATTGCTGGATTTGCCGCCCAGGCTAGGGGAACGTTAGAACATACCATCTGGCAAGGGGGAGGTTAAAAATACCTTCTACTTCTAACCTCCACCATGGTAGTTGAAACCTCCCCCTCACGTTGCCTTGGTCCAAACCCAACTAATTTTATGTGGGAAACAAACACTTGGTCACTGTAAGGGTAACGTGTTAGCTAGCAAGATGGTTAAGGTTAAGATAGGGGTGAGGGGAAGGTAAAATAACAAGAGGATAAGGTTTGAGAGCGGAAAAATGAGGTCATTTGGTGCCCCGGATGCAGCAAAATATTTTTTCGTAAAGTGTTCTAATCTTTTTTTTTTTTTTTTACCGTGTCCTGTCTGGCTGTGAAGCAAACAGAATTGATGTCTGAATGCTGGTAACAAGCCTCACAGATTTACTCTCAGGTGGAGCATCAAAGCGTCTGCTTTTAATGTCATGCCTGATACTTAAAACTTTATTGTTATTGTTTTTGAATGCTTTGTAATTCCGACCAGACACAGACACAGAGGTGAAAGAGAAAGGAAAAGACAAAAGGTGGTGGTGGTGGTGGTGGGGGGGGGGGTGTCCACAAAAATAAACAATAATGAACAAGAGTCTGCTTCTAGACCTGCAGAAAAAGACAAAAAAAAGCAAAAGAACAAAAAAATGGGACACAACAACAATACAAGATCAAGCTATCACTGTGTCAACTTGATGAAGAAATATATGATCAACATTGTTTAACTGAAGAATCACACGATAATAAATCACAGTGCATTAAGTGCCCAGCATACTCTTAAGACCTGTGTTGAATGTGCCCAAGCCCATACTTTTGAGGGCACCATGTGAGCACCTGTGTGTGTACACACGCTTGTTTATGTAAGGTTTCTCTATAGGAGCGTCCAACAGAGAGTGTGAGGGACCACAGATCTGCCCCCCAAAGATGCGTAGGAGATGGGGGGAGGTCCAAGTCCCAGAGATCCAGGCACTCCCCCAGAACACAGAAACCCCAAGGAAACTGCAACCAGAAAGGCCACCGCCCCGCTCGAGAGGCACAGAGGATCGCCCCGGGGGGCCACAACCAGCAGCCGGCAGAGTCCCGGGAGATATCAGCGGCAAGCCCACAGGCCCGCCCGCAGCCTCCCACCCCCTAGCCGGCCGAGCCCGGGACCCAGCGACCCGGGACCCAGGGGCGACCACCCCCTCCGGGGACCCAGCAAAGCCCAGGGACCCAGACCCCACCAGGCAGCCACCGGGATTGATCAGGCAGATGCCAAAAATCTTAAACCCCCAAACCCAGTTGCCATGAACACTCAGGCAGACCAAGGCACAACCCCCCACACCAGGTGTGGCAGGGGGAGGGGGGACGAAGATCTATATCATCAAAAGAAGTTCCAGGAGAGGGGAGGAGTCAAGGGCCCCACCTGACATATACAGTCATACACAAACACAGTCACACACTCCCTCCCTCATGCTCACACATACACATACAACCCAAGACTTACAAAAATGCACGCCGGACACCCACACATGCTCCCCATACACACCCTATTCACTCTGGTCCCGGTACTGCTGCACTGCTGCACATTGGGTACAACCATCACCGGTAACCAGAGTTTGACTCTTTCTGCTGGAGTGCTGATGAGCAGGCTCCCCCGCCCAACGCTGAGCACAGCAACCCACCACCCCAGACCCCAACCAGATGGCCAGATCTCCCTCCTAGCCTCCAGCCCCAGGAAGCCAAGCGACAACAGAGGTGTGCTAAGACCCCAAGTCTCCCTCCGCCTGCTCCAATATAGTGTTGTGTGATCATGAGGTGTGTTCCATGGCTGTGGTGAGCGAGCAGTGCAGGCATCATCCGGCCTATGCCAGCTGATGCCACCGCACCACCCCACTTACACCCTCAGCCCTCGGTGTCTAAGTGCAGTTTAAAATTGGAAGTGGGCACCGGCACCCGGGAGGAGGCTGAGATATCCCCCTGCCAAATGCCATTGAATGTGCTCACTCCCAAGGCCCTAAGTGTGTGTTTGTGTGGAATGTCATCAGTGGAAGTGTATAAGGTGCAAATAAAATTGGGGGCAGGTTGCCACAGGAATGCGGAAATGGGGTCCATACCCGCACTCCCTGACTTGCCCACCCCCCAAGGTCCTATGTGTATGTTTGTGTGATGATGTGAGGGAGCAGGAGGAGAGAAAATATGCGGAGATGGGGAGGAATGGCTGGTTGGGCTTAGCCCTCCAGGGAGCCAGCTCCCCCACTGGCCCCAATAGGCACCTCTGTTGTCAACCGCCACCCAGGGCATGGAGACCCCAGCCCATCTTGCCAGGGCCCAAAGCAGCAGCATTACAGAGCCTCACGGAGTCCGAGGGCACCAACCCAGCCCCACCCCAGCAGAATATCTATGCCCATCCCTGCATTTGCACAACTTCCAGAATATATAAGACATGGGACAACCAGGTAAGGTTGGGTCCTCCCCCTCCTGGACCTCCCCCCTCCCCTGTGATGGAACGGCCGAGGAGCCAAGGTCTGCCTGAGGCCCTCGAACCTGGGCCAGGCACTGCTGCATGTTCCTGCCTTCTTCCCGGCAGCATACATGTCAGGACCCGACCCCCAAGGCCCCGCCCAGATCCCCACACGGGGCCGGCCACCCCCAAACTCCGAGCCCCCAGGCCCCCACCCAGACCCGCCCAGGGGCAATGCAGCCGCCAGGCAGTGACCCATGGTCGCCGCCAAGATCCCCAAGGGGCCCCACTCACAACCGCCAGTAGTCCACCACCCAAGGCAACCCAAGCACCTCCGGAGGGGGGCAACGGCCCCCCAGTCACAGACACCCCCAGTGAACCCACCTCCAGGGAACATCCGGATACTCCAAACTCAGACCCCCCACCCCCCACCCACACCATCCCGCAGGACAACATCAACAGTCCCCCACCCTCGCTATGTGATGGAACCGATCAAAGGAGCCCAGAGAGATTGATCTGAAGTGGAAGCAGAGGCTAAATCAAGTGTAATACAATCTAACAAAAGATTTCTATACTGGTTAATGCAGAGAGTTTCTCTATTTTTCCAATTCAAGAGGATAGTTTTCTTAGCGATGCTTATGGCAGTCAGAACCACGTGAACCACAGATGTTTCAATCGGGACATCGTCCAGGTTTCCCAGTAAACAAAGAGAGGGGGTGGTTGGGATATGACATTTCAGACACTT